AGCCGCACCTGCACGAGCTCAGCACCCAAAGGGCCACGTCCTGTGGCCTCTGCTCTCAGCTCTCGGGGTGGCCTGAAGCACCACCTGGAGCCCCATGATCCCCGAGCAGGAAGACACAGGGGCTCCGGCTTCTCTAACAGGCAGGTGTGTACAGGTGGAACTCACCCGCGGGACCAGGTCCACCTCCGGACCTGCTGTCCTCGAGGTGGAAACGTCCTGACAATGGTGACAACCGAGTGTGACCCCCTCACAGGAAAGCGTCTGCTGGAGGCCCAGCGCCGGCCCTTGGCGGGAAGCGGACGTACCGGGAGCCCCCCCAGCACCTGCTGGGCCACTGGCTTGTCTGGGACCCTTTTCCGTGCGAAGCATAAAAGCAATCTACACTCAGTTATGGACGAATTTTCGTTTTAAACAAAATCGTCGACTCCGGAAGACGAGAGGCAGCAGGAGGGGCCGGTGGGAACAGTGAACCCGGCAGACACGCTCGTGCCCAACGGCTGCCTCGTCCCTCCGAGGTGTCTGCGCGCCCGGCAGGGGCTGTCCAGCCTCCCGCTGGCTGTCCGGACCCCAAGGAAACGTACCTGCGGCTGAGGACTGTGCAGGTCCCCGAACTTCCTTCCCCCAACTCAACTGCATTCGTGGGCAGGAAGGTAACTTTGAAGGACTTTTTTAAAAAATCCCAGCAATGAGCACAGCAAGTCTTGGGGCCGCCACCCCCAAGACCCAGTGCCTGGGCCGGCAACAGGACCCAAGGACAGCACTGCCAGAGGCGCGATCGCCACGGTTGGAAGGTTCTAGGTGAAGCGGGGCAGCAGGTCTGAAGCGTCGGTGTGAAAGTCATCTTTGGGGCTGAGGCAGGAACGGGGTTCACAGAAAAGGGCCCAGGTGGTGGCGGAGACACGTAGGGGAGGCCTCGCGCCAGGCCCGGCGAGCAGAGGCGCTTGCGGCGAGACGCGGCCTGACCCCAGAGTGCCCTGACGGCGCCTCGGTAAAACCCGACTCAGTGCGGAAGGAAAAGCACGCGAGGCCTTTGTTAAAAAGCAAAAATGATTCGCCTAAGCTTGAGCTTTCCTTAATTCGACAGTTACAAAACGAAGGCTCCAATGCCTAAACCTCATTAGGGGCCATCGACCAGGGTCTGCGGGACGACCGTCCGCGATGAAGCCGGCGCCCTCCCCAGACCGACAGGCAGCAGGGGAGGCCCAGCGGGCCTGGGGGACAGAGCCCCCACCCACGCGCACCGGTGCTGCTCCCACCTCCCCTCCCCCGCCAGCTTTCACTCAGTTTGGTTTTATTATCCACTTAGACTGTACTCAAATCTGAATTATTTAACTATACAAAGGGATTATATTTACACGGAATGAAAATATTTCTAGTAACTTTCTGAATGATTCTGAGATGTTCGGGCTGATTTATGTCACGTCAGATACCACCGCAGAGCTCAGCGTCTATGAGGGTCACACCGCTGGTGTGACCTGGCTGTGTGCCAAGGAGGGTTGGCCGAACCACAGCATAGGTGAGCACAAAAGAAAGAGCGTGTTCGAAGTTACTTAATATGGTAAAAGGTAGTGAAGCATGGCCCGTCTTCCAAAGGCCTAATCTCCCTCTCCTGGGCCCTGCTCTCGCTGTCCCGCTCTGCGCAGAACACCTGGCCAGGTGCACGCCCGCACGGGAGCAGGTGCCAGCCCGGCCGGCCAGCAGGGCGTGTCTCTGGCTCTCAGGCTGGCCAGGCCCCCTTGGCCTCCGCAAACTCAACAAGCCAGAGCGTCAGAAGTATTGTCTCGTTCTGAGGCATAATTTGTTTCAGAACGTACAGGTTTATTCTTTCTGAACAACCACAAAGAAAGCACGTCAGTGGACGAACCGCAGAGGAGCTTTATCCTGCTGCTGAGACCGCCCCCCGGGACCGTGGGCACCTGCCCTTCCCAGGGAGCGTCGAGATGGGGCTGCCCACCAACTCCCCCCTGCACAGGCGGGGCTGGGAAGCGTCTGCCTCGGTTTCCAACAAGAATCACCGTCTCTGCCACAGTGAGAGCTCTCGTCTTTCGCAAACGCTGAGAAACGGCCCATCACAGACGACTTTTCATTTTCATTTTAAGGAACATCCCTTTAGCATTTGCTGGGGTTGAACTGCAGGACACGTGCTAGAAATAGAACTGGGCCACGTGTGCTGGCCGGGCCTGTCCTGCAGACGCCATGCCTCCTCCTCCCAGACGGCAGCGCCGGCTGCCCAGGCCAGGTGAGATTGTGACTCCGCGTGTATTGGAAATAAAACAGAGTGAAGCGCAGCAGTAGAAGCCAAGACCTTCCTGCTGGAAGCCGCTGCCTTAGCACACCGGGGAAAGCGCCGCCGGCCCGGATGGCACGGGGTCAGGCCACACAGTGTGACAGACAGCAACAGCTTCTGAGACGCCGCTCACCCAACAATCTGACAGCGGGAAGATTTATAAAGGCAAACAGAATGGTCTCATTACAGTGACAAACAAACAACACTTAGTGCTCTGTAAGTGCGTACTCCCTCGCGCCTGGGCCCAGCCGCGCACGGCGTTCCGCCAGGGGGTGCGGGGGGGATACTCCCCCAGCCCACATGCACACCCCTTAAAGCACCACTTTCGAGTTCTGTTTTCAAGGAATTAAAAAATATGTAAGTTGTTCGTGGCTAGCCATGGTCTTTCTGAGAAAAACACAGCATAGAACTGAAGTGCCCTGATCACGCCGACGCCGTCCGTCACCGAAACGTCTGCAGCGCGAGGGCAGCGCGGCTGTGACTGTCAAGACTGCAAAGCTTCCCCCAGAGCGCGGCCGGAAGGAACTCCACGCTGCCCCGAGGCCGCTCTGCCCTCCAGGCCGCCCCCGCCAGCTTCCTGCCGCAGCCACCACCAGCCTCGGCTCCGGGGCCTCCTGGGGGAGGAGAAGTCATCGCTGTGTGGTGAAGACGGACTTGGGAATAACACGTCCTCCAGACTTCGGCTCTGAAGATACCCCTTTTCCACATGTGAGGCGTTAAGCGCCAACCAGCAGTGCCCCGAAGGCAAGTGGGCAGACCCGTCCTCGCGGAGGTTTGGACGGCAGCCCTGACGCCGGGGCAGCTCCAGCCGGAGACCCAGAGGCCTCCGCCAATTTTCTCCCGAGTTGCCACGGCGACGGTGCTGGCAGGGCCAGGCTGGCCAAAATAACTTAGAAAACAGGAGCCCTGGGCGGGAAGCGGGGCACGCCCGCCTCCCAGCTGATGAGCAAAGCAGCTATTTCCTGAGCCCCAGAGGAGAGGCCTCGCTCTGGGAGGGAAGCCCACGGCCCTGCCTCCCCTGGGTGGAGACAGGAAGATGCCAGGCACCCCAGCAGCTCAGACAGCACTCCCGTCCGGCCCAGGACAAATTATTTTAAAAATTCCCTTTTCACTCTCCCAACAAATAATCATTGAACATCTATTATTTACACCTGCTTGAGCACTTTTGAACTAAAGACTCTGTCCCTGCCTCAAAGAGCCTCCTTGAGACAGGGGGACCATGAGAGGAGGGGGTGCCCTGAGCCATAGGGAGGGGGCTCAGGGCCTGGGACCACCCGCCTGGGTGCAGCGCCCCCTTCACGAGATTCGGGCAAGAGACGGTCTCTAGTGCTCAGGGACAGCCGTGTCCTTCCAGATGAAGTGTGAATTTGTGTGCTCAGCACAGTCTATAAAATTCAGTATTATCTTGCTTTGCAATCGACTTCAGAATGATTCCATTAATCATTTATGTATATCCAGACTCACTCATTATATGCACATACAGAATGCTTTCTAGTAACTTCTCTCTGGCACCATGAAAAGGGGAGGACCCTTCCTAGCTCTGGCCTCCCCTCCCAGAGCTGCCTCCTGCTGCCTGAGATGTCACCCCTGGCCCCAAAGCCCAAAATGCTAGGCTCTAGGTGCCAGCCCTGGAGGTCAACATCACCGTGACCTCTGGGGTGGAGACGCACAGTCGCAGAGCGAGCCGAAAGCAGCCTTGGGAGCCCCGCCTGCCCCGTCCTCGGAGAGCCCCCAGCTCCAGGCGGGGACGTGATTCACCACTGAGGAGCTCTGTGACGAAGCAGCTGGCCCGTGCGGCGGGCTGTGTCCTGGACCCACACGTAACCCAAAGCACAAGAGGCCGCCTGCCTCCCGGTCAGAAGGGACCCTGAGCTCGCTGGAGTCCCCACACCTGAGGCCTACAAGAAGGGGTGTCAACCGTGGCACCCACCCGCGCTGATCTGTGCGCTCCCCTGGAAGAGCCTGTGGGGGCTCAGTCAGAATCACGTGTCCAGAAACATCACAGAAAGGTGCTGGCGACAGCCGCTCACATACAGCTGCTGTTCCGCACAGTCTCGGGCATGTGGGGACAGAGGTGGCCCTTGTCACCAAGCAGTCGCTGAGCATCTGCCCTGAGCCAGACACAGCGCCTGGCACGGCACAGCCCCCCACCAAGGCCCTGGCAGACCCCCGGTCCCCCACTCCTGCTGCCTGTGAGACCATCACCAGCCGGGCCAGTGTGGCTGGCGGGACACCCTCCCCTGCGTGGCCTGTGCCATGTGTCTCCCGCGAGCTGCCCAGACCAGAACGCAGGCCCGGGTTCCACCCCACACCTCTCGCCGGGCCCACCGTCAGTTATACACACTGAGTCAACAGCAAGGGGTTGCACGGGGGCCCTACCCTACCCAGCCGCGGACACACACCAGCCCCGGGAGCCTCAGCCAACAGGGTCTTTGAGAGGCCTTCAAAGGTGGCCCGGGATTCGTGGTAGCCGACACCTGTGTGGGACCGACTTTCGCACGTGGAAAGTCTGGAGTGGGGTCCTCCACGGCTCAGTTCCACCAACGGCATCTGCTGGATGCAGCAAGACAGGCTGAGCGCCCGGGGGAAGCTCTCCTGCTGGGACACAGACTCCTACCGGTGGTTGGAAAGGGCTCCAGGAAGGCCCTGCGCA